ATAGCATCATAAAAAACTATAATAATAAAAGATAGTTTTTATACAATATTCCACGATTAATTCAGCTATTAAAATATTTTCTGTATATTAGTTAAAGCTTTATGCTTTAATTCTTTAATATTTTTTTAAGCCTTATCATTTTTCAAGTGCAGCGAGGGGGAAAAAAAATAGAGACAGTCCCAGTCACATATTCGGTCTTGGTCTGGCCCATACATAAATGGCAAAACATGGCTAAAACAATTACCAAAATGCGGCGGGCACAACAATCGGCGGCAGAGCATAGTACTACCACGGCTCGTACAAGAAATAATAATAATAATTGTGGCCAATTGCTGCTTAGTTGGCCAGTTAATTGCAACATGGTCAAGACGACAGACGACAGTCGAGTCCCACTCTCTGGCACAGAAGAAAAAGAAAAAAAAAACAAAACCATCGATGGCCACGAGTTCTTGGCTTAAAGAGTGGCTTAAAGAATCACAGAATGGAGGCTGTGCAGGTAAGTGATTCATTCCACCAGAGGGAACCAGTTCGGAAATGGCTTATTATGGTCAATATGGCTTAGTTCCGCTTATATTTTTGGGTGTCTTGTTTATTTCCTCATTTTTTGTATTAATAATAGGTTATATTTTTTATAGAGGCATTTATTGACTGAGATTGTGAGCATATTAATTAGGTGGTTTGTACTATATATTTAAAAGATTTTTGGGCAAGAGCCTTGCTTAACCAAAAGTTAATGTATTTAGAGCGTTTTTTATTAGAGGTTAATAATGTTATTAATATTTATTAAAAACATATTTACCGTAAGAAATTTTTAATATATATTGATAATACATTTTATTTTGACTTGCTTTTAGTTATTATTTATATAGTTATTTATTTCAATTTATAAAACAAGCTCTATTTAAACCTTATTTAATATAGTTTGCATATAAATAGCTTCAGGTAAATATTCTACTATTTTAATTAAAAGTTAATGAATCATTTTAATGTTTTATGTTTATTAATTTACTCCTTTAAATATTTTATAAATTCTTTGTAGAATTAATGACTCTATTTGAATTTTCCTCAACCATTATCTCTCAAATTTATGAAGATTTTAGTACTTCCCTCACTGCACTTCTGGTTCCAAGAGTTGCCCATTTCTGGTGTTATGATTTTTTTATACATATACATATATATATTTTTTGTTATTATTATTGCTGTATGCCGGTGACGGGCTTTATGGCCAAGTTGGTCTGCAAACTCCTCTGGCCAAAATGCAAAGGCGGCACTGCAATTACCAAGACAAGCAGCTAATTTTATTTGCTGTAAAACGTGCGCCTCCATCGAAAAGATTTCTTACTATAGTGTCTTATGGGTTTGTTTTTTTTTTTAGTTCTTTCAATAGTTTTAGTAGTTGATTTGTTGTTGCTTTTGGTTTGGTGGGAATTAAACTCCGATGACTGCTTGGAGGAGGCTTATGGATTGCGTGTCTGAGGCACATTAGGCAGCTTCGACGCGCCGTTTATTGAGTTGTCAGCACCAAAAGTGAGAAGAAACATTAATCAGGGTGGTCCCCAAATAGATGCAAAATGGTTGATTTTTTCTTTGCCTAAAATGCTAAATCAAACCGGAAATCACTTCGATTTGAAAGTGAAGAGGAGACAAAAGATACCTCAGCGCTAGTCACAGATTAAATAGCACAATGAGCCCCGCGATCGCGAAACTTGTTCATTTGAAAGTTGAGTTCAAGTTCAGAAATGGCAATGGCAACATAAACAGCAAACAGCAACAGCAACAGCAACAATGGTAACAACAGGTTGCTATAATTTATATATCACAAAGAGATATTATCCCGAAAAAAAAGAAAAAACACGAATAGTTGTCAACGGGGACCAAGAAAGTATTTTGCTGATATTTTTGGGTATTTTTTTATGCTCTCCATAGCGGATATTGATTTGCGGTTACTGGTTAATAAATAGTATATATTTGACAATTTTTGTTAATGCCAATAGATAGCCATTTGTCTTGGTTTAATTAGGGGGTTTTAATATTGTCTTTTGTCTTAATTAATCGAGGGAATATAATACATTATATTTAAGCTAATATTATTTGTAATACAGACATTATTTTTTCTTACCTTAAGGCAGTAACATACTTTATGTTAAATTAAAATTAAAGAAAGACAATTTATCATAAAAAATATTGTTAATATTTATATATAAATTTAAAAATTATAAATATTTTACATTTATTTACTTATACTTTATTTATAACTTAATTCTTCTACTACAAACCCCAACTAAAATCCACCTTACCCACCTTTTCCCTACCCCAACTTCTTTCCAAAGAAAAAAACCATCCTCAATGCTCATTCAATAATGACTTTGATCTTTAACAAATTCAAACAATAATCGCAGCGGCATAACACAATATTATATATATTGTTTTTCTATAGGCATGTGAAATACAAAAAAGTTAGACAAAGTAAATTTATGTAATGGGGAAATGTTAGGCATTTAGATAACATTTTTGTGTGGCGCACATTTCGATATAGTACTTGAGATCGGGCTTGGGAATGGGAACTAAACCCCGTAGGTATTTCGAGGAGCGACTCCACAGGACGGACAGACGGACAGACGGACGGACGGACGGACGGACAGACAGGAGAGCAGACAGTAAGCAGACCGAAAAAGTCGTGTCAAGACAAAGTGCAATAATTCACACTCACTTTCGGGTTTGACGGTTTATAGGTGGGAACACCAGCTAAAGGAATATGCAACAAATAACATTAATATGGCATAAGTAACACAGATGGGGTCAAATTAATAGGAGTGTTGAATTAAAATTATTAAAATTGAATTTTATTCAAGGCATATTCAAAATATAACGTATACGCCTAGGTGTAAATGTGACAATTTTCAGGATATTAAATTTTAGTAAAAAGCTTGTTACGCCGTGAAGGAGTCATTTCCGCCCCTATAAAGTATATATATTCTTGATCAGCATTAACAGCCAAATCGATCTAGCTATGTCTGGAAAGAATTTATTTTTTCAAAATTTTCAACATTTTTTAAGGGTCGATAATTGTCAAAAATTTTATCAAAAATTTGACTTTTTTTAAATTTTAAATTGAGTAAGCAGATTTATTACCCTAATAAAAACTAACATAGAACAGCTTTCCGAATTGAAATTAATGCTTTTTTGGCTTAGTTATGAGTTTTTTAAACTTTGACTTAACGAAAAATTTTGTATATAAAAATATTGATAAATCCGTTTGCAGAATGTTAAGGTAAATTATATATAGGCATTTCGATATAATCCTATTTAATTTAAATGCAATCAGCAACCATATATAAATTTCGGTGTATTGAAAAAATCTTCGTTTCTGGTTTAAATTTTATTTCAAGCATATTTATAGTCCGGAAAAATTACGTATACGCACAGGTGGAATTATTCCCTTTCAGGGTATTGTAATTTAAGTCAAAAGCTCATAATGATGTGTAGGAGTCATTTCCGCCCCTATAAAGTATATATATTCTTGATCAGCATTAACAGCCGAATCGATCTAGCTATGTCCGGAAAGAAGTTATTTTTTTCAAAATGTTCAACATTTTTTAAGGGTCAAAAATGGTCAAAAATATTATCAAAAATTTGAATTTTTTAAAATTTTAAATAGACTATGCAGGTTTGTTAACTTTATAAAACTTAACATAGGAAAGCTTTCCGAATTAAAATTAAAGCATTTTTGGCCTAGTTATGCGATTTCTAAGCATGGATTTATCGAAAAAATTCTCATATATTGTATAAAATTCAATAAATAGTATATACATATATAAAATATAAAAAATTTTAATTCAATGTTATATTAAATATATATTTTAACTTACCTGTAACAATCATTAGGTGTTATTATTTCACCCTCAATTGTAGTGACACCGCTCAGCACAACAACAGCAGAATTCGACAGCATAAACATGCCCAGCCACACTCCGCTATATAGACTCCCGATCCGCTCCGAACCATGATTATGAAACCTTACATGCACGCGGCTGACACTTTATATAGTTTATGACTTGATAAACTCTTGTCGCCATCCGCAGATCCCATTGTCCAAATAGAGTTGTGTTCATGAGAGCGAACAAAATATACCCCATATACCACATATCCCACATCCCATATTCAAATTCAAATTCAATTTACGATTTGTTTGATCTCGAAAACACTTGAAATATGAAATGCTGGACCAATTTTGCACATTGCCACCGGCGGCAATTTTTTATTTTTTTATGTTTTAGTGGCCCAGAGATTTATAGTTCAATTTGATCATGATTTATCCAAATGGCCATAAATAATAAAAACCATGATTAGGTGGTGGCCGGGGGAGTGGCTTTGGCTTTGGCTTTGCCTTTGACTAACTCTCTAATTGATTACGAACCAACTTATAAAATTTAATTAGTTGCAACTTAGTCAGAGGAAGCTATCAGGGACAAGTACAGGTCTTTTAAGATGATAATCTCGCTTTTATTAGGTTATTTTGAAGATGATACTGTACTTTACTGTAGGTAAATTGCTTTATATTAGCTTTCAAGTACTTTAATTGTGTTTGTTATTTTAAGTTATTAAAACAATGTCAAAGGAAATTACCCATATTATAATTTATATTTTAAACTATGTTATCATAAAGGAAAACTACTCTACTATGAGTTTTACATATATTTTCAAGGTAGCTTCAATAGTATATGTTTAGAGATTTAGATTAACTTAATATGCAGTTAAAATCCCTTCTTTTATTTAACTGTTTTTAGATCATCTTCGAAGCCTGCAGTCGTGTCTTAGGAAGCTTCGTCTTTAGGCTTTTTCGCAAGCTCGGCTTTTCGGAGTCGAACTCAGACTCAAGTTCGGACTCGGACTCGAACTCGGACAACCACGATCATTCGGAGTCGGCCGAAGCTATAGCTTAGTTGCTACTTCTACTTGGCGTTGCATAAAAAGTGGTTCAGTGGAGCAAACGCCTTCAGACCGCAAACGTCGCGAAAAAACGCCTCTGAATAAATCGCGCGGCGGCAAAAGTGCAAGGAAAAGGATTCCTCCTACCTCCCATATATCCTTTACCTGGTGCGAGCTCTTAGTTTTGTGTGTGTGTTTCTTAAGCCTCTTTCTTAGATCTAATTTACAGCTCTTAATAATTGGAATATAAACACTTTTGGATACAACAGAAATTTAATTGAGAGTTCTAAACAAAAGTGAAGGTAAGATCCAGTTTTTTGGTTGCCATCAGATTATAAATTCACTTTCGCACGAGAGTTCTTCGGTGAGAGAGAATGTCAAATAAATAACAGAATTAATTAATTATTTATTTTTATGTGCCAATGTTTATGTTATGTTTGGTATTCGGTTTGTTTTTTGTGAACCAAATGCCAAAAATTAAATAAGGATAATTGTGCTTGAAATTTAATACCAACTAAATGCAGAAATTAAATACAAGGATTAAAAAGCAGGAGAAGCTTCAAAAAGGTTCTTAATTGTTTCTTTTTAAGCAAAAAAAAAGGATTTTCAAAGAAGAAGAAGAAATTTTATTTGTAAATTACATTTAGTTTTGATTCATGAAGTTATATTAAAAATTCTGAAAGAGAACCCTCGAAAAATAATTCTAAATTCCTTTTACCATCATTCTAATTTTATCTTTATAATTTATGATTCTTTATTTTATTTACGAGAGACTTTTGCTAAAAAAAAAAATAGCATTCTATAAGCCAAGTGTCAAAAAGAACATAAACTTTGCCAAATAAAGAGCACACACTTTTGTGAAATAAAAACGCTGGAGCTTAAATTTGATTAATATTTATACCACATTAAGCGAATTAAGAATTCTCTCTTTATCGCATGAATTTGTTAAGAAATTCTTGAGAAATGCAATCAGAAACTTGAAATATATTTATATTCATTTATGAGTGACTTTTGCTTATGTTTCAACTTTCCTTAAAGCCAAATGTCACAGATTGCATAAACTTTAAATTGTTGAATTTTAAAGAGATTCTACACATAAACTAGCTGCGCTTCAAATTTATTAATATTTATACCAGTTTGCCTAGTTTTTTGTTTTGCGGAAATATGCTAAAACTAATGAATGCAAATTGTGTTAACTACTAATAATAATGAAGAACAAAGAGTTCAGGGTAAGAGGAAAAAAACCTATAAAGTGAAGAGTTTGTTGTCTTTTATTACGGATTACTTCGGATTAAATTGAAATTGCAATTGATGGGGAATTGCATTGGGGAATTGCGCTTATAATCAACCTGACAGACGTCACACAGTGGCAGACAGACTAATTTGCATATTAATTTTAATTGAATGAACAGCGACCGACGACCGACGACCGGCCGATCGATAAAGTTCATTCGAATTACGAATTGAAATTGAAAATGTCAGCCTGCAGACTTGGTATCAAAATGGAGACAGAAATAGAGCCATTGGCAATGCAGCTGGGTCCAAAGGGGAGGGGAGTCTCGAAGCCAACACGGAATAAATTTAAATTTAAATTTAAATACAATGCTTCCCAGTTAACAGATTGTCGAAGTTTATTTGCTTTGCCAAAACAGAAAGCCAGTTCGTTGCCTAAGTCTTTTGATGGATTCAATGCAAAACTCCCTCCAAAAATTTATGGCAGCATCATCTCCCTCTCATTTCTCTTGTTTGCCTATTTTTTATTGTGGATTTTTTTGGTTGCCATAAAAACCACACCTATTAAGGCTTCCGCCTTTCCCGGTGAGTGACAAGCTTGGCAAATTGTTACACTCTCAACCCAATGTCATTGGCAAAAAACTAAAGCAAAATGCCAAAAAATGGCAAATCGCAATCATCCGATTTGCATATGCAAATTTCATTCCCACGACTTTTAATTGCATCTCGAAGCAGAAAACTAGAAACCCGAACAAAACTAGCGAAAGGAAATGGAAATTCAGCTAAAAAAGAAGACAGCTCTCGATTGAATTCGAAAAGTTATAATTCTTGATTTCAGAGCTGTCTTCAAGGTCAGGGCCATATTATCAAGGCGTGTGTGTTGGTATCTTCTTAGCCATATAATTTTATTAGTGGTGAAGGTTTTAATTGGTTTAACTTAAACTAGATTGCCAACATCCAATTTCAGCTTGAAAATTTATTACAGCTTTTATAGGAGTTAAGTGTCAGAAAACATAAGAGCTTCTTATTTATATTTTTTGCTAAAGACTTGTATTTTATTTCTTCAGAGAGTTGGTATTACGATGTAAATAAATAATAAAATTATACAGAGCTTTATATATAAATTTGTTAAGAAGGATTCATAAATAACTTTTTAGGTGCAGTTTTATAGCATGCTTATATATGTAGTTTACAACACGAGGTTGTATATTTATTTACCTATTAATTTTTTTATATTTTTAATAACAGAGAATATAAAACCCTACTTTTACTCTCCAAACATTGCTAATTTATATGATGTACTATATTTTTTTGGCTTTGACACCTCTTTGGGTCATTTGAATTAACACAATTAGCACACAAAGCCATCGAACAAGGTTAATTAATGAAGCAAAGTTAATTGACATTTTGAATGGACGTTTTTCTTTTTTTATTTGCATTTAATTTTGATTTCCTTGGAAGCAATGTGTCATAATTAAGTCACAGGGAACTACTGAAGCAGGTTGGCTTTTCCACACTGAAACTCGTAAATTAAAGAACCAAAAAGAACCCATGGGCGAGGCACAAGCCACAAGCCACAAGTCTGCGGCTGCTGCACCCAGAAATGCGTGACATTTCGCCCGGACAGCCTTACCAGACACCATCCACGTTGGAGCCCGAAGTCTGAGTTGGAAAACAGCGACAGCAACACGGGGGACAGGCCCTGAGACAGACAATTACTAATTGAGTTTACCCCCCAAAAACTCGCATTAATTACACTCCCAGCGGAGGCGGTATCCAATGATTTAGTCCCAAGCCCTTCATATTAAGGGACGGGAGTTGTTTTTGGGATTATGCAATCCTCGATATCTCTTCGCCCTGGCTAAATGTTCAATTTACAAATTAACCAAGGCAAACACGGCTTCGAGTTCAAAGTTCAATTACAAGACTGACTTGGAGAAATAAACAAACAATTGTTGTGAAATATCACTCCCCCCTGTAAGCGAATCGAAAACAAACAATAACAAGGGCAACACGAATTAATTGAAAGTATTTACAAAAAAAAGCTAGCAGGCATTTAATATCTGGGGCTAGAAATCGGAAAAATCAAATTGAAACTTGAAGAAGGGGCAGCCACTCAGTGAGTGATCTCAAAATTGATTGAGCCCAGCGGGTGAGATTGTTTTTCATAGCTGAGAAAAATCCACAAGCTGTCGAAAGGGTTTCCTACTGACCTCTGGTTAATTAACATGTTGATTGAATATTAAAAGAAAATTTTATTAATTGAAGATATAAAGACATTAAAGCTGAAAGTTAGAGAAACCAACAACTGGAACACCGAAACAATTGTTTAAATGTTTCACCAATTCGTTGTAAAAGCCTTAAGGCAAGCCAAAGATATTACCAATCCCAACTTCGTATATTTCCTAACCAATTATAGATTGATCAATGAAGTTTGCCAAAGGTATATTGCCACAATTCCCATTGATGATTCCAAATAATAATTTCTAAGGAGAAACAAACTCGATTCCGATCTTTGGTCTCTGACGGCCCGAGGCGTTGCATGGAATATTGTTTGGTCAAATTGGCCAGGTATTGATTGTGGTAACTTCGGGTTCAAGTTGGGTTGAGGAGTTACGTTGGCCAAAGTCACGCATATGCCCCTTTTTCGATTGTGATAGGAAACTCTTTTTTTCTGGGATTACTCAACTTGGTTTTTTTCCGGCGAGTGCTATGCAAATCTGAGTGAGGTTGAACCGAAAATTCAATTTGCATTTCGTGATATGTCAGCGGGGCGTTAGAATGTGTTGTTGGAGGTCAGCACGCCCCTTATTTCGTATAGTATAGTTTATATTGGTTTTTTAATAGCATTTGTTAGTTGACACTTTTGGCTTTGGAACTTGACAATTAGCGAGGAACCTTTCGCTGATGAATGTCAGTTCAGTTTTGGTTTTAATTCCGCTTTTAATTGCTTTGTCAAAATGCCACAACACAAAACGAATGACTGAGGCAACGAACTTGATTCGAAAACGAGTTGCAGCAGAATCTGCCTTTTTGTCTTTCGATATCTCAGATCTTCATCCTCATTAATAGTTTGAACTCACTGTTTTTGGATTTGTTTTAATCGCCGGATCTTAATTGTTGTTTTCCCCCTGCTCCGGCTGCTGTTGCATTTGCATAGTCGCTGGTCTTTTGGCACCTGTCCTAACTTATTGAAACATTTTTATTGGCATTTATATATAAATGTAGCTTAGCATACACATGTTACTCCTTGTCCATGCTGATTTTATTTTTTTGTACTCTCGGTATCCAGGTCAAGTCGTCGGCTGTCATTTGATGCAAATTATTAGGCAATGTTTTATACCTCGCCTCTCCTCCTCATCTAACTCCTCTACCTCCTCGGAGGGGCTTGTTCCTCTACACACAAATTGCGTTTTGCTTTCAGCTTTTGGCTTAATGTTTAACGCACATGTGGGCGTGGTCCGGTTGCACTAAGGCGTAGCTTTTGATTAGAATTTTGTACGTTGTTTTTAATGCAAGAAAAGAATAATGCTTTTTGAAGTTTGCCTTGGAGTTCGAGGTTGGGAGATATAAAAATGTAGAGAAAAATTGCATAACATTGCATATGTTAATCAGAATTATTTAATTTGTGTTTTAGTAAGTGAATCGAGATATTTCTAAGGTATTTTTAGTGAAAAGAATGTAATTATAAAAGATTTTCATAAAGAATAGGGTATATTTTAATCTATGGTATATTTTAATCCCTTTAACTTCTATTTCAAACTGGTTTTTATTATTTTTCCACTGAGTCTAATCCAATTCAATAAGCAGACAATTGTTTCCACTTAGCTCAATGATTAATTAACTTTCTAACTGGTCTAGGAGCCGGCTTAAGTTATAAATTAATTGTGGTTTAAAGCTCATTGGAATTTTTAATTACTTAAGAAAAGAAAACCATATACTCCATTCTGCAATTTGCTAAATAGCAAAGAGATTGGTAACAAGTTCTTGAAATTCTTACAAATTACCAAAAATTCTTATAGTATGATTTACAGTCACTTTATCGACATAATAAATACAAATTCAAGTA